AGGAGCAGCATCAATGCCCTGTACCTTCTACAGAGGAGCAGCATCAATGCCCTGTACCTTCTACAGAGGAGCAGCATCAATGCCCTGTACCCTCTACAGAGGAGTATCATCAAAGCACTGCATCATCTATAGAGGAGCACTGTCAAAGTTCTGTACTATCAACAGGGAAGTTCCCTCAAAGCCCTGTACCATTTACCGAAATGTTCTATCAAAGATCTGCGCCTTCTACAGAGGAGCAGCATCAAAGTCCTGAACCATCTACAGAGGACTTCTAYCAAAGCCCCTTACCACCAACAGAGGAACAGCATCAAAGCCCTGTACGATGTATAGAAGAACAACATCAAAGCCCTACACCATCTACAGAGGAACATCATCAAAGCCCTGTACTTTGTACAGAGAAGTTTCATCAAAGTTCTGGACCATGTACGGAGGAGTTCCATCAAAGCCCTGTACCGTCTACAGAAGAACAGCATCAAAGCATTGTACCATCTACAGAAGAGCAGCATCAAAGCCTTGCACCATTGACAGAAGAGCAGCATCTAAGCCCTGTACCATCTACNTTTCCACAAAAGTCCTACACCTTCTAAAGAGGAGCAGCATCAAAGCCCTTTACCATCTACAGAAGAGCAGCATCAAAGCCCTTTACCGTCTACAGAGGACCCCCATCAAAACCTACTACCATCTACAGAGGACCCCCATCAAAACCTAATATCATCCACAGAGGACCCCCATCAAAACCTACTAACATCTACAGAGGAGCAGAACCAAAGCCCTGTACCTTCTACAAAGGAATTCCATCAAAGTCCTGCACCGTCTACAGAGGTTTTCCACAAAAGTCCCACACTTTCTAAAGAGGAGCAGCATCAAAGCCCTTTACCATCTACAGAAGAGCAGCATCAAAGCCTTGCACCATTGACAGAAGAGCAGCATCTAAGCCCTGTACCATCTACAGAGGAGTTCTGTCAAACCCCTGTACCATCTACAGAGGAGTTCTGTCAAACCCCTGTACCATCTACAGAGGAGTTCTGTCAAACCCCTGTCCCATCTACAGAGGAGTTCTGTCAAACCCCTGGACCATCTACAGAGGAGTTCTGTCAAACCCCTGTACCATCTACAGAGGAGTTCTGTCAGATCCATGTACCATCTACAGAGGAGTTCTGTCAAACCCCTGTACCATCTACAGAGGAGTTCTGTCAGATCCATGTACCATCTACAGAGGAGTTCTGTCAAACGCCTGTACCATCTATAGAGGAACAGCATCAAAGTTCTGCACCATCTTCAGAGGAGTTCTGTCAAACCCCTGTAAAATCTACAGAGGAATTCTGTCAAACCCCTGTACCATCTACAGAGGAGTTCTGTCGTACCCCTGTACCATCTACAGAGGGACAGCAACAAAGTTCTGCACCATTTATAGAGGAAGAACATTACAGCCCTGGACCATCTACAGAGGAGTTCTGTCAAACCAATATACCATCTACAGAGGAACAGCATCAAAACCCTGGACCATATACAGAGGAACCACTTCAAAACCCTGCATCTTATACAGAGGAACCGCTTCAAAATCCTGCATCTTATACAGTGGAACTGCTTCAAAACTCTGCATCATCTACAGAGGAGGTCTGTCAAAACCCTGTACCGTCTTTAGAAGAACAGTGTCAAAGCCCTGGGCCATATACAGAGGAGTTCCATCAAAACCCTGCAACATCTACAGAGGAGCAGCATCAAAGTCCTGCACCATCTACAGAGGAACGGCATCAAAGCCCTGCACCATCTACAGAGGAGCAGTATCAAGGCCCTGTACCATCTACAGAGGAGCAGCATCAAAGCCCTGTACCATCTACAGAGGAGCAGCATCAAAGCTCTGTACCATCTACAGAGGAGCAGCATCAAAGCCCTGCACCATGTACAGAGGAACAGCATCAAAGCCCTGCACCATGTACAGAGGAACAGCCTCAAACTCCTGTACCATGTACAGAGGAACAGCCTCAAACTCCTGTACCATCTACAGAGGAACAGCCTCAAACTCCTGTACCATCTACAGAAGAACAGCATCAAAGCCCTGCACCATCTACAGAGGAGTATCGTCAAACTCCTGTACCATCTATAGAGGAACAGCCTCAAACTCCTGTACCATCTACAGAGGAACAGCCTCAAACTCCTGTACCATCTACAGAGGAACAGCCTCAAACTCCTGTACCATCTACAGAGGAGTATCATCAAAGCCCTGTACCGTCTACAGAGGAACAGCCTCAAACTCCTGTACCATCTATAGAGGAACAGCCTCAAACTCCTGTACCATCTATAGAGGAACAGCCTCAAACTCCTGTACCATCTACAGAGGAACATCAAACTCCTGTACCATCTACAGAAGAACAGCTACAAAGTTCTGCACCATCTACAGAGACATTCTGTCAAACCCCTGTACCATCCACAGAGGTGTTCTGTGAACCCCCTGTACCATCTACAGAGGTGTTCTGTGAACCCCCTGTACCATCTACAGAGGCGTTCTGTGAACCCCCTGTACCATCTACAGAGGAACAGCATCAAACCCCTCTACCATCTACAGAGGAACAGCGTCAACGTTCTGCGCCATCTATAGAGGAGATTCATCAAAACCCTGAGGAGTTTCATCAAAGTTTGACATTCGCTCCAAAAGAGATGCATCAAAGTCTGGAAGATATACAGCCAAAGACCCGACTAATTCTTAAAGCATCTCCAACAGAGATTCATGAAAATCTGGAAATATCATTGAAAGAGTGCCATCAGGATCTGGAAGGATCATTGCAAGAGATGCTTCAAAGTCAAGATGTGTCTGCACAAGAGGCACATGAAAACATAAAAGAATCACTGACAAAAAATCAGCTAAATCTGGGATTATCAACTTTAGAGGTGCACCAAAGTCTGGCATTATCTCCAAAAGAAACTCATGAATGTCACGAAGCATCATTTCAAATGACTCAACAAAAGCCATCATTGTCTTCAAAGGAGACGTGTCAAAGTTTAGAAGCATCACTGCAAGAATTTCAACCAAGTCCAGCATTATCTCCAAAAGAGACCCATGAAATTTTTGAAGAATCACTGCAAGAACCCCAACATAGTCCAACCTCTCCAAAGGAGACCAATCTATGTTTGGATGCATTATTGAAAGAGGCTCATCTAAATCTGGAGGYATCACTACAAGAAAACCTTCAAAGTCCTGAATTGCTTAAGAAAGACATCCATCAATCATCAACATCATTTTCAAAAGAAATCCATTCATTTTCTGCAAGTCCTGTATCGTCTTCTAAAGACATTTATCAAAGTCCGGAATCGTCTCCAAAAGACATTCATCAACATTTGTCATTGTCTCCAAAAGACATTCATCAACATTTGTCATTGTCTGCAAAAGACATTCATCAACATTTGTCATTGTCTCCAAAAGATATCCATCAAAGTACCACATCATCACCAAAAGAGACCTCTCTAGATACATCTGTTTGTCAGGGCCAAGAAGTTCTCACACCATCTCCAGAGGTGACCCATCAATGTCAGGCCTCTTCATCAGAGGAAACCTATCAAAGTCTGGATGCATCTCTAAGCCAACTCAAAGAAGGTCCTGCACCATTTGTGGTGGAGAACTATCAAAGTCTGACACTGTCCCAAAACCAAAGTCAGGTATCATTTTCTGATGAGGTCCAGAAAAATCCTACATCTTCCATAGTGGAGCCTGATCACAGTCAGAGTCCAGAACCATGCCAAGAACATTCAAATCAGAGTTTTACACCTTCTCCCAAACATGCCCACCAAAGTCCTGCCCCTTGTCCAGAGAAGACCTATTTAAGTCCTGGACCATCTGTAGAGGACTTGTTGAAAGAGATGCCTCAAAGCTCTGTACCATCCCCAAAGAAGACTTGTCAAAGTCCTCTACTATCTCTAGAGGTAACTCATTCAAGTCCTGGAACATGTCATGAAGAACTTAAAAAACATGTGCAGTCCTGCTCAGAAGTCCTTGAAAGTCCCTTTTCATCTTCCAACACTCTCCAACAAGATCCATCACCATCACTTGAATGGATCAAATCCAGTTCTGGTCTACCCCCTACAAGCCCCCAAGAAATGCCACCACTGTCTTTCATAGAGATCCAACAGAACACACTGGTTTCTCTTGATGAATCACCAGAATTCAAAGAATCACTGAACCCCTTAGAGATTCAACAGAGTCCAGTTCAGACCGTACACACCCATCCATCAGAGAGTCTGACCGAGCTGGACCATAGTCCTACCAGGGTTCAGTCAGAACCTGCAGAGTCTAAGAACAGTCCTGAACWCAAAACTCAACTCAGCAGATCATGTAGTCCTACATCACCACCACCGATTCCTACACAGGAGGCCATTGGATCAGACCCTGCACAAAACCTCTCTGTTCCAGACCCAGTACTCACACAACTGTACAATAAGCCCAGCTCAGCTCCWTGTAGCCCAAATCCCCTCCCATTCAGACCCAGATTGTGCAGCGTGTCCCAACTCTGTAGCCCAGTWCAGCTGGAGTGTGAGCAGGCTGTCAGACCTTTGGAGACCACAACAGAAGCAAGTCTTCACTCTGATGGACAAGAAATAAAAAGTAGTTCTGATCACTCCCAGACTTGGACACCAGAAAGCCTTGATCACAGTAGCCTGACTGACACAAAGGTGGATCACAGTCCTTGTGACGGTCCATCACTGTGCCCAGAAACTGTTGCAGCACAAGGTGATAGTTTCACGCAACCTGCCTTCAGTTTTAGCCCCATGCCATTGGAGACGAGCCCCTCAATACAGCCAGCTAGTCCCAGAACAGTACCACAACCTAAACCTGTTTCTTGTCAAGATGAGGAGATGGAAGTCCATCCTGATAGTCCAGTCCACACAGAGGCCACCAGTGGCTCTGGTCTTAGTTTRTCACAGATTAGTCCCTCACACCTCCAAAGTTTATGCAGTCCCCCTTCTAACTCCTCACTTGGTTCTATAACTCGTTCTGGTCCTGCAGATGCCTTGGGTACCCACAATCTGAGCCAAATACCCTCAAATGATGATGGTCAGACGAGTCCGTTAAGGTCTAGTCTTGCTGGTCAAGCTAGTTCTATTCAGACTCCATGTCCTTTCACTAATAGTTCACCTCACAGTCCGGCACAGGCTGGGGAAACCCAGGACACACCCCATCTACCCACTCTGAACACTGGAACCAGTACTGATTTTACTGGAACACAAAGGAGTTCTGCCTCAGATGTGGTCCTGTTAACCAGTCCAATTATCCAAAGCACTGTTAGTCTCCTCAGATCTCCAGAACACGAGGGTCTGTCTGCTGTTATTCCCATCTCTGCTGGTCCTGAATCAGATGGGCCACTGAGCTCCTCACACAGAAGACCAGAAACCCCTGTTCACACTAGTCCAAGCCATGTCAGTCTGGTCCCATCCAGTCCCAATCAGGACCATGTCCCAAAGCCTCACTCACATGCCAGTTCATTAAGCTCCGCACACTCACAGGTTGGCCCTCCTCATGAAGTCTGTACCTCAAGTCCTGTTGGTGGCCCTGCTCCTGGTCCTTTTAGTCACATGCAGCTACAGCCCAGTCCTGATCCTGCAAGTCCTGTAAAACCAGTATCTAAGCTTGATAGTTGTTCTGTTAGTTCTGTGCAGCAAAAGTGTAGTCCTAATCATGGTAGTCCAGCACAGCCAGAACTCAATCTTGATCCTTTTCCTGCAAGTCCTTTTCAGCAAAAACCTTGTCCTGGTCCTGTTAATGCTATACAGCCASGTCCTGGTTCTGGTCTAGGTTCTGATGTTGCTAGTTTCTTATCCTGTGAGGTCAGTCCTAAAAGAAATCCTGTTAGCCCTGTTCCTGCCACCCTCAGAGAGGATGCAGTCAGTTCTAGTTCTTGTCCCACCAACCATGTACAGTCTGGTTCTGGACTTGGTCCACAAATGGAGATCAAGGTGGAGATTGGAGCTGCTGAAGGTGAGTTTGATGACTTGTGGTGTACCCCAGGGTTCTGTTTTAGGACCCATTCTKTTGATTCTGTATATTCTCCCTCTTGGGCAGGTAATCTGGCAATTCAGAAATGTGCAATTTCAGCTCTATGCTGATGATATCCAACTTTAGTGCTCATTTAAAGAAAGTGAGTTTCATAAATTAGTGTCCCTAAACAAATTGTTTAGCTAGCATCAAACAGTGGTTAAGCAACAATTATCTGCAACTGAACTCCAATAAAACTGAAACTCTGATTGTTGCTCAGWCTGAACAGTTTATTGGTGTYTTAGGTCCATCTATTCAGTCCAGCCTCAGACACTTGGGTGTCATTTTTGATTCTGCATTGTCTCTGAAACAACACGCAAAGCAACTGACCAGAAACTGTTGCTTTCTTCTTAGGAATATTTCAAAATTGAAACATTTCCTGTCAAAAGCTGAACTTGAAATGGTCATTCGTGCATTTATTTCTTCTGGTTTGGACTGTTGTAACAGCCCATTCACATGTTTAAACAAGAAGGAGTTAGACCGTCTTCAGGTTGTCCAGAGCTCGGCTGCTCGACTGTTAACTAACAGTTAACTAACTGTTGACTAACTGTTAACTAACATAAACAAACACGCTCACATCACACCTGTTTTGGCTTCTCTTCAYTGGCTCCCAGTTCATTTTAAAACTCTGGTTTGAACTGTTAGCGCCTAAAGACCCCCGCATACTCGAGCGTACTTCGATCCACACGTACTGGAGGCGGACGCAATGCGGTTTYGAAGCGGACATCCGCGGACTGGTCCGCGCAGAGATCAGTTTTTTTGTCCGCATTCGCGGTGCGCACAGTGGCCTGTACTGTTCTGGGTGTGGTACAAAGCTGATAAAGTTGAGAATCGGTGTCATTTGTGGACGAAATGGAGTAAATCTTGAAAAGCGTCTCATGGAGGAGATTAGAAAACTTTGACGCGTCAATGAAGGAATATGAAGACTTTCAGCGAGCAACAAATTTGTGGGAGGAAATAGCTCTGATCCTGGGTAAGGTAGTTCTTTTCTTTTTTTCTTTTATTGTTTTAAAGCTAAAATGCAAACTATCTCTTCCTCCTGATCCTTGACATCATGAGTGAAATTGYGAGAAATTAAAGAATTCKTCAGGCGGTCAGTGCGCTCCAGTATGAAGTCTCAAACATCCGCGGACAGTGCACCCGAGTATGTGGGAGCCTTTWCATGGTCGAGCCCCCTCATGTATCTCAGATTTGATYCAGGTTCACACCATCCCGCAGTCTGAGGTCATCAGGTCAGAGGTTGTTGGTGGTACCACGCACACAGTTTAATCCAGAGGGGCTCGGTCTTTCCAAGCAGTTGCACCTCAGCTCTGGATTGCACTGCCCCAACTTATACACAGCCTTGACTCTGTTGGTGCTTTTAAAAACATCTGAAAACTTTCWTTTATAAACCGGCTTTTAGCTAAGTTTGTTTTATTGTACTTTTGTATGAATATAATTCTGTGGTGATGTTTAAATTTTTTATTGTTTTTATGTGAAGTGCTTTGTGATTTTATATCTAAGAGAGGTGCAACATAAATAGACTTTACTGTAGGATCAGAGCTTTACGGTTTTATCAACTCTTACTGCTCCTGCAGATGTCTGTCCATCAGAGGAGCCAAGAAGGAGCAGTAAGGAGGAGGAAACAGGAGGACCTGTTCCTCCTCGGGCCATACCAGAGAGTCCAGGAGAGGAGGAGGAGCCACATCACCAGGCTGAGATGGTTACTGTCGGTTCTCCTTCAGGTCAGTAGTGACTACCTGACAGGAAACACCAGGTGTGTTACCTTGTGCCCTGTACAGGTGTGTCTCAGCTGTCAGGTTGTTTCCATGGTAACTCAGTGTCAGCAGAGAAACGATGAATTTGTTCAAATTAGTTTGAAGCCAAATGAAAGTGTTTCAGAGTGATGTGGTGGAGCCTGGGAGTTCCAGTCTTACCTGTCCTGGTTCGTGTCTCCACAGGAGTCCAGCGCTCAGTTGCCGTCCCCTCACCTTCCTCTTCCTCACTTCACCCTCCTGCCTCACCACYGCCTCAAGCCAGCTCTCCAGAAGCCCCGCCCTCTTCCTCCCCTAACAAGACTGCCTTACTCCCCTGCTCACCCCAGGCCACGCCTCCTACAGAGGACCACCCTCAGGAAGACAAGGAGGCGGAGCTGGAGTGCAGCCAATCACAGAGCCTGATCGAGCCTATCGCCATGCCAACAGAACTCACCAAAGATGAACACAAATCACACACTGAGCCTTCAGAGAAGCAGGAAGAGGTTGTTGAGCAACAGCCAATGAAAGAGAATCAGGAAGTAGAGGAGGARGAGAAGAACCAATCAGATGCAGAGGAGGAGCCTCCTGTGAGTCCTGTTCTGGACCTGGACCCCTCTTTGGATGAGGAGGTGATGGACCTGATGTCCTGTGCTACTGCCCCGTCTCTCYTGCACCTGTCCTCCCCCATCCCACCTTTCACCTGCCGAGGGAAGGGGCGGAGCTTCAGGCCGCCTCCCTTCTCCTCTCGGCCCTCAGATGACCTCTCCATCCGCCTGAGGCAGTCTCCCTTTTCCACAGAGGCCTCCCCTGAAACCTCCCCTGCCAGGACTCCCATCACCCCGCCCCCTCTCACCCCACCCTCCAGAGAGTCTCCGCCTCTGTCCCAGGTAAGTCTGAGGTGAGGCCATGATCATGTTTCMTGCTGGCTCTGCCCTCCTTCTGACCTCCTGCCCCGTTTTCAGGCTCCGCCCACTACTGTGTACCCCATCACCCCGAGGATCGGCATGGGGAAACCAGCCATCTCCAAGAGGAAGTTCTCCCCCGGCAGAGCGCGGGTCAGACAGGTACGTTGTTCTCTGGTCCAATCAGGAGCCACCTGTCAGTCACTAACTCTGCAGCATGTTCACACACACACACACACACACACACACACACACACACACACACACACACA